TAACTCAGAAATGGCAATATGAGTGTATTATACAGACTATATAATGATTTGTAGTCCAGAATGTGTCTTGCTTTCCCCAATATTGCGATAGTCTTAGCCAGTTTTGCTTTCACTTGATTGATATGAGGTTTCCAACTGATTTTGTGGTCTAAAACCACACCAAGGAACCTATATGCTCTTTCTATTATGTTGTCTAGTATTAATTGCACCTGTGGATTTTTTTTATGTTTTCCAAATAGCATAGTTTTGCTTATATTTAATGATAATTTGTTCTTATCAAACCAATGTTTTACTTTAATCATTTCTGCTGTTATTACCTCCATTAGCTGTTTCAAATTGTCACCAGAACAAAACATATTAGTATCATCTGCAAATAAAATAAATTTCAATATATTTGATACTCTGCAAATATCGTTGATGTATATGATGAACAGCTTTGGACCCAACACAGACCCCTGAGGTACTCCACAAGTTAGGTTCATGTATTCTGATTTATGTTTACCTATTTCAACAAATTGTTGTCTATTGCTTAAATAATCTCTCACCCAGTCTAATCCCACCCCTCTGATGCCATACTGTACCTTTCCAGTTTTGTCAGTAAAATGTTGTGAGCTATGGTGTCAAATGCCATTGATGATCTATTATTTTAATTTATTTTTTAAAGATTGTTTTCGGCAACCAGTGCCTTTTTTATATAAGTGGCAGTGTAGAAAGGGGAAGATAGGGGGGCTGACATTTGGCAAATTGTTCGAGTTCGTATTGGAACCAGGAGTCATCTCTGTCAAAATGTGTAGGGGGAAACATGTTAATCACCGACAATGTTAAAAATGATTGATCTAGAAATAAGTTGAACAAAACTCATCCATTATAGTACACTTGCACACTTCTATGTGTTGGTCAATCATTGCATTAGCAATCTAGTTGTTAAGCACAAAACTGTCCACCCATTTGTTAGATTTTCTGATAACATATTGCAGTTTATTTGAGCTGAAAACTTGGAATAGGTTACATTGTGGGAACATTTTAACATGTCATTCCTTGTTTTTCTACAAAGCTTTGTCTGTCTATCTCTGTAAATGCCAACCGCTCAAAAAATATATGTATTAAATATGCAGACGATCACCATTTAATCCGCTCCCCCTGATATAACTAAACAATGCTCAGTGGTCTTGCAGGCTGTTTGTCAGGCTCCCTTCAGTCTTCATAATCAAATAAAGCATGAATCAAATCGTTTTTTTTTATAAACACAATGTACCCTCGTGGCGGTAATGCTAATAGCTTATTATTGTGTAAATGCTGAGCCGTATTCAACCGCTGCACTCATGTTAATGTGTTCTTTCACTGAATAACTGCAGTGTAATTGAAAAGCGTTGCAGGGTCTGTAAAGAACATTATGACATCAATACTGTTTACGCATGCACACACACACAAATGAATACACATGCATGAAGACTTGTTCCTTTGGGAGTCAAGGTGAATTCATGTCAATTTATTTTGTGTCACGTTGCTCTAAATACACACATTGTAATTCACCATTAGCTCTGTTGTCAGTACATAAATAAACATACAAACTAATGATATTTATTAGATAAACAAGTCCTTTATATGCTTGGTTTATTGATGCCAGTCTTTCTATCTCAGAGCCAGGTTTTCATTCATTAGAGACCGCGTTTTCTGTGCCAGATGATCCACAGGAAGTTTGTCTTGAATGGAAACTGAGGCCATGATATATTCCATATTACGGATTTAAATTGCCTATTCAAATGTACGATGTATTCATTTCTGTAGCCTTGATGCTTCCAACTATATTTGAATGCATGTGTCCCTAAAACCATGCTTTGAATGAAATAACTGCAATTTGACTGCAGCATATTTTCTTTTACAACTAAAATACTATCTGCTTCATTCCTGGTTCGTGGGGTTGCTTAATGTTTTATAGGTTATTCATTACCAGCAGCACAATGCAATCAGGATCCTTAACCAAATGGATTGCTCAGTAATCCTTTAGTTGAGGTCACAGATAGGTTAAATTGAGGTGACTACTGGATGACTAATGTAGCTTAAAAGAGTCTATTTAATGAAGGCAGTGATTCACTGGATGCTCAGACGCTGATGTAGGACCACAAAATGTATCTGAGGTACAGTATAAACATCTGGGCCATAATTACAGATCGTTGTGAAAAAAACAACATCCGTTTTATCTCCTATCAAGGCTGAAAAGAAAATGTGTATTTTCCAGTGGTTGTTTATTCATGCCAATATAACTATGATGTGACTGTCTGCCAGCTTAATAAAGTTTTTTATTAGAGAGCAAATTTGCTGCCAAATATGCAAATACCAGCTCCAGCTCTCAAAGCTCCCGACTTGGGAGTATTATGAAACTCAGTTTCATTTCCAACTTGACTGTTAATGAGGCAGCTCGTCTTTGTGTGTCTTCATCGCAGATTAGAGACGTGAAGTTTGTGTTTTTGACAATAACAACGCTCTGATATCACTTTAACTGCCTGTGATTGTCAGCTTTTGAGCAACATTTTACCTCAAACTGGCTTGGAAATTCAACATCCAAGTTGTAAATGGGTTTTGAAATCCAAACACAGGCCGTAGGGAAATTAAGAATGTCCCCATTTTGTTTTGGAAAAGATTGCTGTCAAATGTTATTTGGTTCATCTCACTGCCAAATTCATCCCAACACCCCAAAGAGAAGTGAGGCATAAATAAATAAATAAATGCTGCCGGTTGCTCAAAAAAAGTAAATTTTTTAAGTTATTTTTACGTATATCACCTCTTTAAGCACTGTTCTTGACAATATATATTATCATGAACACTTGGATCTTCATGAAAAATGTTACATTATTATTTTCCAGTCAATGTTTCTTGCTTAATATTTGATTCAATACCAGAGCATGTTGCTGGTTAAAAAACTATTCTGATTGACTAACAAATCAATCGTTGTTTTCTGTGTCTGTAGCTCGTTGCGATTTCTTCCTACATCTCAGTCTTTAGTTTTTCTTTAAATGTGGATAACCGGAGTCATAGCTCCTGCTTGAAGTCTCTGATATCGTTGCTGATGGTTGCTAGCGCGACACTTAGCATTTCCTGCATTATCCCTAACCCTGCTCCTATAGCTTTTCCTCGTGTTCGCTAGCTTCGGAGATTTCGTCCAATTCAGGTTGTTTTTCCACTTTGTATTGCTGTTTGTTTCTTTTCCGGATTGTTTACCCCACTCATATCTAACTTTTCTTTGTTGAGTTGTTGAATTTTGTGGGTCTATTTAAACCCACCTGAGAGAACTCGCGCCCGCTCACTCCGCCACACCGGAAATGTTGCAACTTCAAAGCACAGAAATAATAAAGTTAATAATAAAAAATCATTATAACAAATGATTTGATATTAAGTCTGTATGTAGAAATCGACATCAACACATTTAGAGCTATATTAGGTGTTGGATTACTGCTGGATGAAGCTAAAACACCTTCTCCAGAGCCAATCGGGGATTTATTTCCTCTCTTTTTGTACCTGTCTGTGATTGGGAGCTGCTTCAAGTTGCGCTCAGAGTAACCAATGAGGAATTGTCTGGAATAAACACAGAGCGAGAGAGAAGTGTAGGGAGGGAGAGAGAAGGGAGATGAAATCAGATACTTGAGCGTCAGACTGCTTTCATCACCAGCAGCTCCATTTGAACATCAAAGCTCCGTCTGCATGCCTAACAGACAGCAGTTACAAAATATCAACTTGAAAGAGAGAGAATGTGCTCGTGTGCTTATGCATCCGCTGTATGAGTGTGTGTGAGTGTGTGTGTGTTTCAGTGTCTCCATGTTCCAACATTCGTAACGCAGGAGCTCCATCAAAGTAGCTTCTTGTCTCCTCTGATCTCCACTCATCCTCGTTTCCTTCTCTCCTTTACCCTCTTCAGTCTGTGCCTTCTTCTTCCTCTTCCTCCTCCATTGCCTGTCCTCCTTATTCCTCTCTCTGGCAGTCACTTCCCCTCCACGACGGGCCGAAGCTCGCCTCTCCTCGTCCCTTCTGCTCCTGCTGGCCTCCTGCATCCTCGAACGCTCCAGGCATCTCGCCAAAACTCTCCTCTCGCCCCCTCATCCTCCGACCGTGAACAATCCTCTTCTCTACTCTCTTAATTTCCCCTTCAACTTTCATCCTTGTTCTTTCCTCTTCTCTTGTTTTAGACTTTTCTAATTCTTACTGAAAACAAGTTGAAATGAGTACCTGGCTGTATGTAAAAATGGGTTGATTAAGAGGTCTTCTATGTATTTTGCTTCGTGTACCTATATTTTAAAGCAAGGATTTTATAGATTTCTCAAAATGTTCATCACCTTTGTCAAAACTTCATTTTGCATGTGACTAAATCCCTTCCCACTCCTTATTTACTTATCATTGTGTTTTCTTTACTTGAGAAAATTGAAAATTGTTTAATTTGGCTGACATATACATTTACAATTTTTTAAGTAACCAAATATTGCAGGCCAAAGTTCACTGGAATTATCATATACATATATTTTGTATATTTTTCTTGATTGGACGGCTTATTTTTGTATGCTTTTACCTTGTGTATCTGTGTGTGTAATCATGGCGATAACACATTGGTCATTTTCTCACGTTGATTGGTGAATCTGTTTCTTCAATATTCAACTACCAAAGGAGAGGTTTGGAAGCAACTTTTCCAAAGGGGTCTTGTAGTATTCTCATTCCTATCGTCCTCCACCAAACCCAATAATCTGTGTTCTTTCTTCCCATCTCTCAGGGTATCTTTGTGTTGGGTTTACCCTTCGCTCTGGTCCGCTCGGGTTATGTTGGTCTGGTTCTGCTGGTTCTGTCGGCCTGGGTCTGTAACCACACCGGGAGGATCCTGGTGGCCTGTCTGTACGAAGAAGAGCAAAGGTGTGCCTGTTATATTCTCCTCTTTAGCCATTTTACTCATAGCAGATTTTTCTAAGCAACTTATTTAACTTTGTGTCAGTGCTGTAGCACTTATGGGCTTTTATTCCCAAAGAGCACTTATCCCTTTGCTTGGTGGATATCTATTTTTCTTGTTGAAGTCTTTGTTGGATATGTTTGAGTTTCTGCAGATGGTGCGGTCCTCTTTATTTTCAGCAATGGTGACTATCGTTTCTGACAACAGAGCCGTTCATGAATGTATTTTCTCTTCTATTCAGACTCCTCTGGGGAATTTAACCCCAATTTTGTTGAGTCCAAATATACTGTAAAAACATGTTATTCTGTTCTTTCAGCAGTGGCGAGCTTAAGAAAAGTACCACTTCCACAGCAAAAGAAAATGTCAATCTGTTCTGTAAAACTGTGCTGAAGTATTTTCTGAACTTAGGTTAAATTATGTTGTGATGAGTTCATTCATTTTCAATATAAATTGCAAGCCATAGCAATGTAAATAAAGAACATCATTGTGCTCATCTAAAGCACTGGAGCAAACTCTTCCACAATGATAATAACTGGAAATAGTGACATTGCACAACATTTGTATGACATTTTTGTCAGAATTAATTTTTTTATTCCACACATGACAGTTATTTTAAAATGGAACATTTACACTTATACTGGTTTTTATTTGTATAGCACATGGTGGAAAGGAGCAGGGAGAAGTTACCTGCCCCTTCTTACAACAAAATAACATCAAAGAAATAATGAAATAACCATTAAGAAGTAAAAATAAAAGCAATATTCTTTCAATCACAGTTGCTTACAAATACTGAAACATAAAACCAGAACACAATCAAAAGTCAACTTCATACTGTCTAATTACACTATCACATTAAGATGATGTGTTTATCTCTCAGTGGAGGCTCGGTGTCACAGGTCAGAGTCCGGCGCAGCTACCAGGATGTTGTGGAGGCCTGCTGCAAAGGACTGTGGCCCCACTGGCCTGTACTGGCAGGCTGGATGGTTAACGTAGCGCAGGTAACACACACTTCAGAATAAACCAACACATAGCAACACATTCATCATTCTGTACACATGTTGAATACAGTACTTCTGGATCAGTGGTTCCTAGCGTTTTGTCTGATATACACCGACAGCCTGTAAATTAGCTTGAGCAGCCCTTCACCATTATCACCATAAGCATTATTGCATTATTTGTTTAGTGATATGCTACAGCTACAGTATCAACCCTTTTATTAATTACATGTAGCTTTTTCACAATTTTCCAAATACTGTTAGCCAGCTATCAGCTATTTATCCATTACCTTTAGATAACTATTTAAACAATTTATTCATTACTTGTAGCTTTTACAGGATTTATTACTTTTTCTTATACCATTTCAATCATATATCCTTTACATATACCTACCTTTGAACTATTGGAAGGGTTCATTTATATCTATTAGCCAACAATTAAGACTTATTACTTATGACTGATCTAGCTATCATGCTAGTATACGGATATATATATATTTTTTTATCAAATTCTGTTTTTTTTGTCAATGAGTTTAAGCTTCTCCACAAAGCTTATAAAGCCTTCCTGCAGGCGTCTCGTTTGGAGAAATGTACCCCTGGTCTAGCACCATGAGATACATACTGTATGTATATATTAGAGATACACAAGTGAAAAAAACACCTTAGTTTCCCACAATAAACAGTTAAACATCTCTTTTTCTGCAGGTCATCGAGCTGTTGATGACGTGCACGCTGTACCTGGTGGTCTCCAGCAGCCTGCTGTCTGACAGTGTGTCGGGGACGGCTGTTCCTCGGTCAGTGTGCTCTCTGGTGTCTCTGGTGTTCCTGCTGCCCTGCCTGCTGCTCACTGATCTCAAACCAGTCTCCACCCTCAGCCTGCTGTGCTCCCTGGCTCACATACTCATCAGGTGATTGAAAAGGAGTAGCTATGATTGTTCTGACATTAGCTGATCAGTATCACCAGTCATATGGAATCAAGACGACGAGGTGGTCTTTCTAATCTGCTCTCCTTTGATCATTATTCATCTTCTGCTGGTTTGGCCGTCTACTCCCATCTTCAACACACTGCTGTTGCTGCTTGTTCGATTTTGGATAATGGAGCTGGATCTCAAAGTTCTCCGTGATCCCTCTGATCTCTCAATGCTATGGTTATTTAGTGATTTGCAAATAATTTCTTCCAAGTTTATTATTGAATATCCCATGTTTCTTTTATGAGCTTATAAAGAAAGCCTTGTTTCCACCTTTATTCAAAAAATAAATAATCAGCTAACCAAATTTGTTTAACATTTTAAAATACATTTTTGGAAATACATCTTTTTTGGGAAGCGTTTTAATGATTTAATATTATTTCAAATTCATTTTCCCTTTATAATTTTTCTCCTTTTATTTGTTGTATTATATTTTGTACAATGTCTTTATTTCTTCTTTCAATTTCCTCATATAGGCAAACCTTCTCTTTAATTGCTCTGTGTACCAAAGAGTAAACAGCTCTTATTGCATCATGCTTTGAACATAATAAAACAATTATCATTGCACGCTTTATTAATTTAAATATATTTATCATTTTTCTTTCCTTTTGTCTCTGGCCCTCTGTCAGCCTGTTGGTCATGCTGTACTGTCTGAGTCGAGCCAGCAGCTGGTCCTGGTCCACTCTGTCTCTGTCTGTGGACCCGGAGGACTTCCTCGTCTCTGTGGGCGTCATCATCTTCTCCTACACCTCTCAGATCTTCCTCCCTCCTCTAGAGGGCAGTATGGAGGACAGAGGGCAGTTTAACACCATGCTGGGGTGGACTCATGGTGCCGCCTGCATCATGAAAACCCTGTTTTCTTTACTGGTTTGTAACATTGTTAAACACTGAAAATGTTCTTGTAATTCCAGTGATACTGACTTGGTTTTTTATGTGTTTGTGAAGACTCCTAAACAAAGCTAACATTTAGTTAAGTGCTGTCAGAGGTAAATAAATACAGTGACGGTTTTATTTTATAATTTGTTACCTAAAAAGCATTGAGACAGAATCTATATTTGGCCGGACATCTGGCTGACAACTGCGGATCTAATTAAAGGATGGAAGAAGGGACAGACAAATGGAGTGATTGATTGACTGATTGCATTGATTTGTTTTTCCTCCTTCATTAGGCCGTGCTGACCTGGGGGGAAGAGACCAGTGAGGTCATCACAGACAACCTGCCCTCTGACCTCCGACCTCTCGTCAACCTGTGCCTGCTGGCTAAAGCCCTGCTGTCCTACCCTCTGCCCTTCTACTCTGCTGCTGAAATACTGCAAACCTGCCTGCTTGGAGGTAAACACGACCGCCAGCTTTTTATTGAAACCACTGACCTTTCCCAAAGTTTTGTCACCATACATGAAGAGAGAGTTCCTTCAGGCCATCTATAAATGGGTTTGTACTCATGAATTATATCTAAGGTGTGGTGGACTTTAGATCTCCATTTTACTGTATACGTTATAATGGCTGATATGCAGATTACACATGGCCTTAGGAAGCTGTTTTTTCCTTTCTATATTGCTTATTTCTCTGTGGAACAGCATAAGCATGTAAGATAAAGAAAGCAGGCCTGAGGCTGGTGGATCCCTAGATGGTCAATGAAAATAGCTTTGAAGAAAATTAATCGGTTACATGTTGTTTTCTCTCATGCTGCCTTAGGCATAAGACTTAATTGCTCCCGAGGTCAATAGTGGTGGACTGGGGTTAGATCGTTCAAGATGGGAGTCTCTGCAGATGTGTCAGTGAAGAAAGGTTGTGCTTGAACAGAGCATGAGAACCAGTTTAATTTCTACTAAACGTTTATTTAGCCCACAGATTACCTCTTAAATTGCTTGCATCCACACTTAAGCCTATTGTCAATAGAAACCAACATATGAAATGAAAACCTTACCGATGATGTCAGAAATACAACAAAACAAAAAAGCAAATCACATACCATTTGTTTTCGTTTGAATGCCAAGACATCAGGGAAACCTTGTGATGACTAACCTTCTCACTGTCATTGACTGTAAACACTAATGAAGTAATGATCACATAGCAACACTTTTCCTTTTTCCGAAGTGATGTCATTTAGAAATATAATATTTAAATGGGAAATGCACATGTCATTTTAACCCTTCCTGCCTTCTACAGCTTTTATTTTTAATTTGTGCTAATGACAACTCTACATAGAAAAGAGCAACCCATGCACCAAAATTGCTTGCAGGTTCAACACAAATCGACATCAAAACAACACTCTACTTCAACCTTTCCACAGATGTCTCATCATACTCCAAACATGGAGGTCGAGGTGTGTCTGGTCCGGCCCTGTTGGTCCGTGTCGCCTTGCTGATGACATCATACCTGCTGGCCCTGATGGTCCCCAGGTTCTCGCTGTTGATGGGTTTGACCGGCAGTGTGACCGGGGCGGCCATGACGCTCATCCTGCCCTGCCTGTTTCACCTCAGACTGCAGTGGAGTCGCCTCACTGTGCGGGACCGCCTGATAGACCTGTGCATTCTGAGCCTGGGGGTCATCTGCAGTGTGTCTGGGGTGATCTGTTCAGTGAAAAGACTAGTGGGAGGACTGTAGGGTGGTGGATGGATGGATGGATAGATGGTTATATGGATAAATGGATGGATGAATGGATGCATGCATGAGTCGTGGATAATAAATCAATAGATGGGTCGATTAATGGATTCATGAATGGGTAGATGGATACATGAGTAGATGAATAGATTGCTGGATTATTGGATGGACGGATGGATGGATGGATATACAGATGGATATACAGATATATGGATGGATGGTGGATGGATGGTGGATGAATAGATGGATGGATGGATAAATAGGTTTTGAAGAGAAAGGACAGTTACGCACTCTCCTTGAAACATTTCTTTCTTTCAAGTGAGTGATTACACTTTTTGAGTTATTCAAAGCATGTTCTTTAGCAATATCATGATAAAATCCATGGGGGATGACAAATACACTTAAAAAATAAAAATATGTGTGTCAGCCAAACGTTTCTTTAAGCTTCTTATAAATTCCCCTGTCACCACCTGGGATGTTTGCACCTATCTATTAACCAAACCGTACAATTTGCCATGCTGACTGGTTTGTAATAAGTAAACATTGTCCATGTTTTAATAATTGCATTGGAGAGCAAAAGAGGATTGTCACATAGTTCGTAATACAAAGTCAAGAAAGATTTTTGTTTAAGTAGGAAATTGAGTTTTGATACATTATATAATCTAAATCTAATTAAACCTTGTAAAGTGCTGAATGTGTTCCAGTCTTATGTGTTCCTGTAATAAAACAATAAGATAATTACAGCCATTAGTGGAACAGGCTGACCTACCGTACAATTAACTCTATTTTTAAGGCTTTTATGCTTAGACGAACATGTTTTCTGTGCATAATTATTGTAAAAAATGCTGTTGCCTGTATTATGTGTGAACTTTATCATAGTGTGTCTAACAAGCCTTTAAGAGGAAATAAATATAAAAAGGATCCTCTCCTTTTGGCTGGAGAGGATTGAGTGATGTTTGTCTTATCTCATGTCTGAATTTGCTATTGATAAAATATCTATGGCGGTAGACTGTGTGCGTGTTTGTCATTGTGTGTGTGTGTTTTAAAACCGGCAGGTGGGAGTCATTTTGGCTTTGGTTCGGCTTCTGTGTATGTGCTTCCAACGCACTGTGGAAGTGGGTAGATCCAAACTGTGAAGAAAAGACAAAAGGGCGACAGAGGAGACAAAAATGGTTTCATTTTTCATTCTGTTAAAAACATCTACTGTAAAGTGAAAAGTGAGAGGGAAGAAAAATGAGTAGGAAAAAGATAAGACTGAGAAAGGGCAAAAACTGAATCACAGTTGAATTAAAGAAGGTCAATAGAAACAGAAAGTTACAGCGGAGAAATGTAAGTTTTCCATTTCCCTGCAGGGGCTTGATGAACTATGTATTTCTAGTCACTGGTCAGACATAAACACACACACACACACACATGCAAAAACACCCCTGCACTACACTAACCTCGTAAAATGTAGTCGGACTAAAAAACCATTACGGTGATTTTCAGAAAACTGTCCCTGTAAGCAAAGTCCATTTGTAGTAAATCTCTTTAGCTCAATAAAGTTTTATTTGATCAAGTGCAGGGGAAAACGACGGGCAGAAAGAGAGGGGATGAAATGTTCAAAGTCAGTGAAGACAACAGGAAACAGGAACACAAAGGATAGACCTTTGAACATTATCATTACTGCACAATACCAGATATAAAGCACTTAATATAAAGAAACTAATACTAACTTAAAAACTATGCATTGCAAGGTGCTGTTTGTTGCATTTAAACATAATTGAAACAATTTGCACAAACATTTCTAGGTATGGGTATAACAACAGTAAAACAACAGCACTGGCCTCTACCATACCAAATATATTTCTAAATTTGATATAAAATAATTTCAATATTACCGAAATATGACTTGGTACAGTGAGAAGATATGATAAGCATCAAGTGTTAGGCTTAAACTGACACACACACACACACACACACACACACACACACACACACACACACACATAGGCCTGTCACGATAATTAATTGTGTTGGCACACACACAGGTGACAGGTCAACAAAGAATTTAAGCCAACACACCTGTCATCTCCTTAGAGATAGCATTACAAGATGTGTGTGTGTGTGTGTGTGTGTGTGTGTGTGTGTGTGTGTGTGTGTGTGAGAGAGAGATAGAGAACGATGGATAGCTGACAGCCTGACAT